CGTCCTCCCTTTAGCCTTGTTTGTAAGGGCTCTCATACATCGTAGTCTACAGTCCATGGTGAAACCATCTCAGGAAGATTACCTGCTAATCTTTAGCCTTCCCTAGATGGCTCCAGACAGCCCAAGAATCCAAAGGCAGCCTCAATAACACGCCAGGGTGTGACGCCCATCCTCCTCCCTCTTCCTTTCTCTCTTCTCCCTCCCTCTCTTTCCTTTCTCTGTTTGTATGTGTATATCCCAGTCTCTCTCTTTCACTCACACAATATAGTATTAATAGAAATATACACATATATGCTCGCAGGTACACACACACATCTGTGCTGCAACCACGTAGTTCAGTACCTGACATATACTAAGTATTAAGTAACAAACAATATACAATTAAAGATGTTTTCCACATCACACAATTTTACCAGAAGAGCGACAATTAGAACAGTTCACTATAGCCAAGGAGTAGAGTAAAAGGAAGTGAACTTTTAGGATTTGCAAATCTATATGTATGTGTAACATTCTACAAAATGTTCTATAATGTTCTGTAAAGTATGTGTGGTACCTAAAGACTGCTTCAGAGACTTGGCGCAGGTAATAAGATCAACTAAGGCAGTGCGTGTAATAATCAGTTCATCCTCTTCAAGATGGTTTAAGACAAATGAATTTGTCAAACAGAGTTCCTCGAGTTCTTCTGCTTCTGCGCTTGGTTGATTCCCCCCTCTCTTCCCTCTCTTTTGAGACAGAGTCTCATACATGCCAGGCTGGCCTGGAATTTGCTCTGCAGCTTGGGTTGGCTTTAGATTCTCCTGATTCTCTTGCTCCCATTTCCCAAGTATGATGATTACAGACAGTTGTGTGCTACCATGCCAAGCTCCTTTATTCACCCAATGTGATATTATGTCTGCCTTTGCCTTTAAGTCATTAGACAAATATTCGTGGCCAGTCAGGATAGCAGCTCGAAAGATGGTGAAGAGCAAAGCCAAAGACACACTGTGTTTTTAGAGTTCATGTTCTAACTCACAGTAGACAAGTTCGGCTAGTGCATCCCTGTAATTCTGCACTGCAGAGGCAGGAGGATCTGAATTTTAGGTCTGTCTGGGCTATATAGTGAAGCCCTGCCTGTCTCAAACAATTAAGAAATAAGCACACTCTTTAGCTTCAGCTAAAGTAAGTCTTGAGGGAACTAGTGAAACTACATGAGAGACAGAGCAGGAACAGGATCCCTTTGGAGCTGGTGGTGGGAGAGAGACTGTCCACACAGACTGTGGTGCTGGTGAGCCAACATGCGTCCTATTTCCCATGTAGGCACCATACTCCTGAGCGATCTTCTTGCTCTGCTAAAATATTTAATTCTTTGAAATTTTCTATTGTCTGATATTATGTATTCTTTTTATGATGATTGTTAAAAGGTTCTCTGCATACTTATGTAATCATAACAGGAAGTCTTAGATATGATTTACTTTGGGCCAAATGATAATGTACGACAATCGGAAATATGATTAAATTGAGAAATTACACAGAGTCTTTTAAAGAACCCAGCTGTTGTAGAAAATGAGATATCTATATTTGCTTTCCTGTCAGCTCTGCCGTACTTTTCTTTTTGTAAAGCACATAATTGTAACGCAGTAAAACGCTTGCGTGAAAACAGGGGAGTTGATTAATCTTACTGGAATGTCATCAGGCTTTGTCACGTAGCTTTCTCTGCAAAGCAAGTGAAAACATCTCATGTTGTGAGATAGTGAAACAGCCGCAGTGCTTTTAGCAGCATGATGGGCCAAGAAGCTGCAGACGCCTAGAGGCTCATGTTAGGATGGCTGGGTATGCTCGAAGAACTAGTCAGACCCAGCAGTCCAAATTCTGGTAAGCCTTATGTGATGATAATACTGCTCTCTCATGCTCAACCAGTCCTCTTAGTAGCAAGTTACTAAGGCTATGACCAAGACAAGCGGATGTTAACGCCCATGCTTTTGAGTGTATATGCTTCACACATATGTAAAGCCATCCAAACTTCACCTCTTTGTTGTCCGTGACATACCTGAGCACTGAAGGGAAACGATGTGTATTACATATGTCTCATCTACTGGACACAGGTTTACACTTTAGACATTGTTCTTCTTGGTATAGTAGGAGCCTCACACAGAATTCAAGCTTACATGTAAAATTTAAATGTCTGTGTGAATCATCCCTCTACAGCATGAGGTTACCGTTGGTTGTCCCATCGGGTTGTCTGAGTATACTGGGAGATTTCAGATGTCACTGTCTGTCATCAGGAAGTGGATGCAGTTCTAGCATTTTACCATCTGCACCTTCTTCTGGGACATTGGCTTAACACTCAGCCTCAGCTTTTAGATCTGTATTTTCAAGTCTCTCCTTCTCCCTGTCCCTGTTCCTCTCCGTCCTTCTCCCTCTCCTCCTGTTCCTTCTCTCTCTCTCTCTCTCTCTCTCTCTCTCTCTCTCTCTCTCTCTCTCCCCCTCTCTCTTTCTCTGTCAAAGTAATACTCCCTGTAGAGTATTTTGACTGTAGCAAATGCAACAGTGAATGAACACTTACATGACTCTCACTGTCCATGTACAATGGCTGCTAATAATGTGCTATCTCTTTCCAATTTCTTTTCTATGTGTTTCCATTTGTTGGCATACATATGTATGTAGTGCCTAGCACACAGAAAATATTTTATAAATATATGATTAGATGAGTAGTACATACATATATACATATGTACCTTATATGTTTATGTTTCTATTTTATTAACTGTCAATCCCATTTTTGTATTGGGATATATCCTAATAAATATATAATATATATTTATATAGAGAGATATGTATATATAAACAATACATTTACATATAAATAAATATATGGAATTTATATAAATATATAAATATATTATTTATAAATATAAATAAATTTACATATAAATATATGTGTGTGCTCATGTGTGTGCATGTGTATATGAATTCATCTGTGTGTGGAGGGAAGAGGTCATGGTTGGCTGTCTTTACCTTTTCTTTTAGAGATGGATCTTTATTGAATCTAGAAACCACCAATTTGCCTCAAGATCCCCAACAAGCTCCAGTGCCCTGATTGCCTCTGCCTCCCAGGTATTGGAACCACAGGGACTTTTAAGGACATGAAAGGAGGCAAACTCAGGCCTGCATGCTTGCAGGGCAAGCATTTTACAGCTGAGCATCTTCTGGGCTGAAATGGGGTGTTTAGATATGTGTTTGTATGGTGGAAATTAAGATTAACTGAAGATAATGAACTATTTCCTTACCTCATTACCAGTTTTTAAAGGGGAGAACACAGGAAATCTCTGTGCGTGTGTGTGTTACTCTGTGTGTTTGTGTGTGTGTATTTTAGCAGCTTTGAAGTATACAATATATGATTTGCAGTCACTATGTTATTTGATAAGTCCATAAACCTCATTCCTTCAATGTAACTGAAACCATGCCCTTTGACAGGCATGGCCCATCTCTCCATCTACTGTTCACATCTCTGCTTACCATCTCTGTGCAATCTGGCCCTGAGTTTGATTCTTTTTAGACTCCACAGATAAATGGAATCATAGCATATTTGACTCTTCAATGTCCACCTTATTTCATATCTCAAATAGCAAAAATATGGACACAAAAGAAACTATATAACACTTAGTCCTTTTAAGTTTCTTAATAATATATTAAATTATCAAAGCATTTCATTAAACAAATACAGTATTTGATAACATCTGAATCTTCTTATGTGTGTGTGTTACATATGGATGTGTTATATATGTATCTGATATATGCATGCTTGTTGCATATGTGTGTTATGCATGCACATATGTGTGTGTTACAAATGGGTGTACTACATATGTATGTATTATGTGTTTGCTACATGTGTTACATATACGTATGTTATGTGTGTATATGTGTTACATATGGATATGTTACATATGTGTTATATGTGTTTGTTACATATGTGTTACATATATGTATACATGTATGTGTGTATATATGTATTGTGCATGAGTGTGTATGTGTGTTACATATATATGTATTATGTGTGTGTTTCTTACATAGGTGTGTTACATATATGTGTTATGTGTGTTGCATTCATGTGTTAAATGTGTATGTGCATGTACATGTGAGTATGTGTGTGAGTTGATATAACCTTCCCCCATGTTAATTCTGTTTTGTGTCTTTGCATTTCTGTTGGCATACACTATACTATTGACTTTTATTAGCATAAAACTACTTTCTTTAATGATAATTCTAGAGGCACAAGCTGTAATTTTAAGGTCACTGTTGGTTTTGGCTGAATTTTTATTATTTAAAAATGGTAAGTTTGAATTTCAACTTGCAAATATTCATCTACAAAATTTGGAGAGTAGAAAAAAAATTCAAAGCAGGAGGAACATAAGAAAGTAAATTATTTATGATCCTGGGACCTAAAGCTGATTTCACATGAAATATGATTTCTGTAATTTTCATCTCAGTTTTCATCTATCATATTTACCAAAAAAAGTTCTGTTTTCTAAACTGCTTTCCCCCTCCTTAATAGTGTATTATTTGCATGACCTTTGCATGCCATGAGACAGCTGTGACTTATTATTAAGTGGTGTGTCTATATAAAGCATCTAATTATCTCCTTGATGGACGTTTAGTTTATTTCTAGTGTTTTGTTGCTTTCTGGAGAACTAGCAGAAGTCCTGTGTTTTATCGCCTTGGTAGCCGACTGTGAGTCTATTGAGACAAATTCCTAGAAGAATTGCCAAGTCCAAAGTAGAAGCATATCAAGGCTGTTGACAAGTGTTGCCACATTGCCTTCTGATGCTTATACCAACTGACACCCCCTCAAAGAGGTGTGGATGAGAGACAAGAGGATTAAAAGTCTTCAGGCCATTTGCTTCGGTGTCAACTGAATGGCTTAGGTACCTATGCTAGTGTCTTTAAGGATGCTAACTGTATCCTATTTGAGGTGTATCCCTGAGCTTGATTCCTGACAGGGAGCACTCAATGTGGAGTCACTGATGGGGAAGGTTACTTACTGCTTACAGGAAACAAGGGACAATGTCCTCGGTAGTTATGGCTATTCTGATCTCCAGCTCAAGCAGCCTGCTTTTAAAATTTATTTAGTCAAGAATTGCTTCAAGGAAAGCATTGTTTTTTTGTCTTCTAGAATCTTCTGTGACTACACAGGAAATCTGGTCCTGGGAGCAGTACTTGAGAGAAGGGAATGCTGTGGCCGCACCAGTAGAACTGTTTTCCAAGGTCAGCCTTAAATCTTTTCAAGGGGATTTAATCCGGAAATTTAATTGAAACGAAAACATTTGCCTCGATAGTTTACCAACTCGTAAATTTATGGACATGGCTAGGAAATGACCCATCAAAGCTCATCAGAATGTTAGTGTTTCAGAGTGTACACTGGAGCTGGGTTTGGAGCCTGGGACTGCTACCTACCATCTCTGTGACCCCGGGCAAGTCACTCAACATTTCTAAGGCACAGTTTCTTCACCTGAATGGAGGGAGAGGTACCTACCTACCTCCTTGTATTTTTGAAGGACTAGATAAGTTGAACTTGTAAAGCACACAGAATGCAATCTGTATGTAATTATCTTCTTAAGTGTCAGTCTGCAAATCTTCATTTCCCTTAGTGCGTCTCATTTGTTTACGTCCATTAAAGGGTTATGTTGCACAGGTCTATTTTCTTTTCTTTTTATTATTTCATTTGTTTGCACTTCAAATGACATCCCCTTTCTAATTACCCCTCCACAACTCTCTCAGCCCATCCTCCTGCTCTTCCCTCCACCTTGTTTCTATGAGAGTTCTTCCCTACCCATTCACCCATTCCTACCTCAACATGCTAACATGCTCCTAAACTGGAGCATCAAATCTCCACAGGACCAAGGGCCTCCCCTCCCATTGATGTCAGATAAGGCCATCCTCTGCTACATATGTATCTGGAGTCATGGATCGCTCCATTTGTACTCTTTGGTTGGTGGTTTAGTCTCTGGGAGCTCTGGGTGGTCCAGTTAGTTGATATTGGTCTTCCTATGGTGTTGCAATCATCTTCAGGTCTATTTTGATATGATAAGATATGATAGTTGATTAATGGGATGTTAAGAAAAAGATGGTATTAGCCCCAGATCATACCATTCCAACTAGGGCAAACTTGCTTGGTTGAGCACTTTTTATATTTGTGGATACAGCAATGGATACAGAGAAAATGACCTTAAAGAGTAACCTGGATTCATACATAGGAGTCCAGCATAACTGTCTTTTGAGTGGTTCTACCCAGAAGCTGACTGAAACAGATGCAGAGACATATAGCCAAACACTAGGTGGAGCTCAGGAAGTCAGGTAAAAGGGACTCCACAGGAAGATCAACAGAGTCAACCCTTGGGGGATGCCAGAGACTGAACTACCAACCGAAGAGCATACACAGATTGAACCTAGCCCTCTTCCTCCCCCCACCCCCTGGCACATATTAACAGATATGTAACTTGTTCTTCATGGGGGTCCTCCTACAACTAGAGCAGGGGCTGTCTCTGACATTGTTGCCTGCCTGTGGATCCTGCTCCCCTAATTGGTCTGCCTTGTCTGATCTCAGTTGGGGAGGATGAACCTAGTATTGTGGTGACTTGAAGCACCAGTGTGGGCTGGTTTCCAGGAGGGAGGGATCTCACCCCTTCTCAGATGTGAATGGGAGGGTTTTGTGGGGGAGGAATATGTGTATGTATGAGGGAGGACTGAGAGGAGAGGGGCTGTGTACAGGATATAAAGTGAATAAATAAATAAATGGAAAAGAGAGAGACCTAAGTCCTGGCACCTGACAGTGAACAAATAGAAACTTTTGTTTTTTATCTTTGCTGTAGGCTTCCATAATAAAATAATGTAAAGGTTAAACCACAGAAATTGAAAGCATCCAGAGCAGAGGTTTTAAACAAGCCTATCTATCAGAGGGAAACCGCAGAGACCCACCTAAGCAGAATCCTAGGGAGAGGGGCAGGGAAAGGGAACCAGGAAGCCTTCTGTGCTATTCCCCATGCTTCTCTGAGGTCTGTTTCCTTGGGGTGTATAAGGAATGTCTAGATCCTGCTTACTTCCCAGGCTCCTACCACCCTTGTTTGCTGTTGCTTGATGAGATTTAGTGTTTATCCCTCAAAATTATGTGAGCCAATAACATCATCATAAATACTAGGCAGGTACCTTAGGAATCAGACCAGTAATGTATCCTCAGATTGGGGGTCCAGAGCTAGGCTTAAGACATTAGGTATCTAGGCATCAGCATCCAGTGAAGGAGTTAGCAGAGCAAGGTGAATTTAGGCTGGATGGAACAAAGTGTCAGATTCTCTGTCCTGCTCCTGTGTTTCTTCAGCCCAGTCCAAGAACGTATTGCTATCATTAGTTTATCCTGGGAGATTCTTTAAGGTCCATCGGCCGTTGCAAGACATGCTTGCAGAGAAAAGCTTTTTCCTCCAGATTTCCCCTCTGGCTTTGGTGTTAATGAAAAAGACACCCAGGGGAAAATGGAAGACTTATCTCCTGAAGCAAATCAGGGCAACAGTGCTGGGAATGAAGCGTTTGGGCTGTCGGGCATGAAGATTTTTTCCCTTGGGTTTTAGGGTGAGGAAGAAGGGGTACCGGAAGTGGTACCGGAAAGCACTTACTGAGGGGAGGGCTGTCAGTTCCCTGTGGAGGGAGGCATTGAGTGACAGACAGGTGAGGGAACCTGGGTGGTCAGCACAGGAAACTCATTCACGGTCCTTTGGCTGATGAGATGATTGTGAAATATGGCCGAACTTTAACATATGTCAACTCTGAAGACAGCAGCAAAGCATTAGTGTATAGCAGACAGATCCATTGGACATGCTGATTGCCCTTACCTTTTCTTCTAATCTGTCAGGAAGTCACTCATGTTTAAGAATTTGAGTGTGCACAGAGCACCGAGGGGTTAACGACATTTCTCAGACTCTTATTGCTTAGTTGGGAAAGAAGAAATATCCTAAAACATGTCATCAGGCATTGATGTATTTAAGAGCTTATCTCTCTCTGTGTAAAATAACACTAATTAAAGAAAAAGAGGCCATGATTATGAGAAAGAGGGGGAAGAAAGACAAGGGAGGGGTCGGAGGGAGGAGAGGAAGTAGAGAAATGATATTTTGGATCATTTTTTGGAAATGATACCAAACTTGGATAAAAGAAAAAAATTGGTTGAGAAAAGAGAGGGGGGATGAGGGAGGGAGGGAGGGAGGGAAGGAGGGAGGAAGAGAGGAAGAGAGGAAGAGAGGGAGGGAGGGAGTGAGAACAGCAGCAATGTGAAACAGCACATTCTTCATTCACAGACCATGCAGGTGATGATTTTAGGAGACATTCTCCAGAAAGTCCAGGGCTTGTCTAACCCCGAGCAAGGGAAGAATGAAGCTACTGATTTTCCCTTGATCTCTTAGTAATGGAAGACACCTTCGCTGTGGATCTAACATCACTCAAGCATGGCACTTGCGTTTTAAGATGTATAAACAAGTTTGTAATTGGAAGTTCCAGTGCCATCAAAAAGACAGAAGGTTCATGTCAGCCTTCCAAGAGGGAGATGAGCTCAATTTTATATTGACACTCAACTGTTAATGTTCCTATCAGTGTGTAAATATTATAGCAGTGTTGTTCATGCCAGCCACTCTGATGAGGTTCTTCAGCCTCTGAGTGTTAAAAATAGAACAAAGTTGTTTGCATTTCTTGCCTGGATAACTGTTGTAAAGACGTTAAAGTAGCAAACGAGTCACTGCTAACGTGGTTTCTAACCTGATATTCAAGTTCTAGAAGATATACCAAAGCTACATGCAGACTTACACACACACACACACACACACATGCACACATACATACACACACACACATACACACACACATATACACACACACATACACACACACACACACATACACACACATATATACTCACACACATACACACACACACACACACACACATACACACACATACACACACACACACATTCAACCCTGAAAATCAGATACATATTCAACCATGAAAACGTATGTATATTAATGTAAGGAAAACGTGCCTATTTTATTTGTACACATACTTTCCCATATCCACCTGTCTAATTTAAATGTCTTTTAGCATAAGACCAAGTTGATTGTTTCGTATTTTACAATCTATTTCACCATCTGGGATAAAGCATAATCAAGAATGTAAACACCTGCTGTTGAGAGCAGGTTTAAAGATACCTTCCCTTTATTACCATTGAGATGTGAGATCTCTATCTTCATTTCATTTGAAAACTGAAATACTGTGTTTTTTATCTTTGTTAAGTTTGGTACTGAAAAGGTTTCTTCCTGTCCTTCCCACCGTCACCCTTACTATGCCTCTTCCTCAGACATTTTTTTCCTCGTTGTTCCCTGGTTCCAGCTCTGATTATCTGTCTGGAACTGAAGCCCCAGCAGTCGGCCACAGCTTCTGAGTGTGTCAGGATGTTCCTGCTCTGGCTCCTGCTTGACTGTCTAATCTTTGTCCACATTTTTTTCTGCTTACCTAGAAAGACTGGGTCCAGCTCCTGAGGCCCTTGTCTTTTAGGAAGCCTGCTTACACTGGTTTCTCCACATAGAGTTGCTGAGAGCCACCCTGGCCAGCTTGCTAAGGTGGGAGTAATGGCTTGGGAACAGCGTCCTCACTGTTCTGTGGAAGTAACACAGAGACAAGACACAGGTGCCTGCTGTCTACCTTCCTCCTGCAACAGAAAAACATATACTGCCTGCTCATGGGAGAACCTCTGGCCCTGAACATCAAGACTCTCTCCACCCCACATTCCTGTCACCAGTTAGAAGGCTTCTCTGCCTTTTATCCTATGCACTGGTCCTGTCTTACCGGCCAGTGTTGGGTTGCTAGGAAAACAGGCAAAATAAAGAATTAGGCAGCAGCCACAAAGGTACACTTATGTGTTTTGGTGTTTCAGAACAACATAAAACTCAGTATTACAAAAGTTGAAAACATCTTGGACTTCCATATATATTTCGATAGTTTAGTCGTAAGAGGTTTATCTCAGTTCCATGTAGCTAAGATGCAGTATCAGGTCCCATTGCTGCTGTGACAAATTTGGACACACTTAGTCATCAGAAAAACAGGTTTACTCTCTGACAATTTGAAAGGTCAGCAAGTCTGAAGTGTCTGGAAGATTTTCTTTCCTTCTGCAATACCGGGGGAGAGTCTCTTCCTACCTCAGTAGCTCACAGGCCACCCACACCCATTGGCT